CACACTCCACACCAGGCTGCTCCAGCAGCTCCACTGGCAGCACAAACCACACAGCAACTTCTCCCCCAAACACATCAGAACTACACTAAGCTGGATGATGCAGGGCTGACACAACCTCTAGAATGATATTCCTTTCACTCACTTTTGAAAACACATTGCATTCAAGACAATTTCTCTTGAACAAGTCCTAAAAACTGACATTTTTCAAAAAAAGCACTTTCTGTAAAACAAAAATAAAATCTTACACTTCAGTTGAGCTGCCTGATTCTTTCTTCTCCGAAGTAGGATTTCCGTCAAATAAAAATTAACTTGGTTTTGAGTCCTGCATCTTTGAAGATTACAGTATGAGCAAGTCCCTCTCACTCCATAACAACTGCCATAGACAGACACATGTTTCTTGTCCCTTAACCATTGAGCAATTTGGTGAAGAGCTGCTCTAGAGACAGAAACCTACACAACTCCATGCAGCATGGACAGGGGAAGACAAGGCAATTAGATTTAAGCATCTCCCTTGCAGCTTGCTTCCACAACAATTCCAGGTTACCTTTGCTGCTGCTGAAGCCATCCTGCATTTCTCCATTTGACACAACTGCTTTCAGCCTAGCACATCTATATTCTCTCAGTAACTCAACCTAAGATTCAGTTGGGTAAGGAATATTTGCTACACCCCTACTCAACAACAAGCCAAAGAGCTGAAGCACAGTCTGGCCATGCTGTGCTCCTCATAAGATATTTCTGCTACTGCAATATTCCTCCTTCTCCTTGAGCATGCACAGACTGAGCCTACACAGCATCTTAATTCACTGCAAATCTTTAATGGGCTGTTCAAATCCTGCTCCAAGGTAGCAAAAAAGACATTCCCTTGCAAACACAGCCCAGCACCCCACTTTGCTCAGAATCACTCCACCCATAAGGTCTCAGATGAGAATACCCAATTCCTTTTCTTTGCAGCTAGAAAGAACCTACTGCTTCCCAGCCACACAGACTCCAGGAACCACAGCTAATTATTCCTGAAGGCAGTATCAGGTGGGAAGCTTTGAAGCAGATGATAAATATACAGTCCAGCACTTACTTAGGGCATTAGAAGTTGCTACCTCTTCAAACCCTAAAGTCTCAGTGGCATCTCATGCCCAGGATCCTCAAACTGCTTAATTAAATCACCACAAATGACCCTCAGAAATGAACATCTAAAACAATAGGGGAAATGCTGGGATGCACAGCTTTCAACAGCAACTCTGTGCTCTGCTACAGAGAGCTGACCAAACTCACTGAGGGCACTTCTGCTCAGCCAAACTGTAACAGCCTTGGCTATTGTACAGAGAGCCACTAAATCCTCCAACAAAGTGGATAATCTGAGCATTTAACCAGCTTACAGGGTGATGTTTTAGTGATGCCTGCTTATAACCTCTTGCAATCTCTGGAGCTTTGCTGGCTGTGTAATGCTTTAGACACACACAGCATCCTGCTCTGAGAGGTCAACAGGGGCTGAGGAGTAACGTGGATTTTTAGTTCTTTTAAAATGGTCCATCATCTTTGTCAGCTGCATTGTTTTACATGGTCACCTGTGATATCAGCAGAGCAGCTAGATATCTCCCAAAGGAACTGTGATGCATGGAAAACCCACACCAGAGCAGAGTTCTCCTGATGGGAACTGCAGCACATGCAGGATGCTCACTGGAGCACAGTACTGATCACACCCCATTGTGTCACCCCCATGCTGCTCAGGGCACTGTGAGGAGGTAGAAGACCCTGGAGTGCAGGATTGAAGTAGAGTGAAAAAAAACGTGGTGTTTTAATGCTTGCTTTTTGTTTCTCACTACCTGAATCAACTGTAACTGTCATTAAATAAAGTCGTTATTTTAAATTCTCCCTAGGATAAGTCTGTTTTGCCCATGGCAGTACAATCTCCACATCTTTAACCTGATCCACAAGTTCTCTTGCTTTAATTTCTCTCTGTCATGCAGAGGGAAATGGCATAGCTGCATGGGAGTTTGCCATGAGCCATGGCCACCCCACCACAATCACACAAGGGATACCATTCACCTTGCAGAGCAGCCTTGTGCTTGGGAAGGGGCAGTAAGCATTGTTATTAATGTTCTGCATAACCTTATTTCCCCCAGGGAAAAGGTGAAGAGATAGAAATAACACATTACAGCAGATATTGTTCTGCATAGAAATTTTGCTTTGTTGGGTTTTTAACCAGAAATCCTTACCTGCCCTGCTCAAGTAAGACTATATCCTTAAAGCCCATCTTGGAAAGGTGATAGGCCACAGAGGTGCCCATGATTCCACCACCACAGATGACAACCTGTGCCTGTGCTGGCAGGGAAAGCGGGTGAGGCTCTGCTGAGGTGGAGGCGCTGCGCTGGGAGCCGGGCATCCTCCTCCATTTCGGGTGAGCCGCCCGCCACTGGATATCAGACAGCAATCGGAGAAACATCCCGGCTGCTCTCTGTCCCTTCTCCTAAAGCACCACCTAGACGTGCTCAGATGTTACCTCAGCACCACTCCTTCTAGGAAGGAAAAGATGAGACTCACATTACCACTTATGACACACAGGGCTGGCAGCAGGACACATCACGTGGTGTGCCGGGTATAAGTGGACATGAGAAAGCTGATGAGCAAACAAACAGGAGGGCACTTACTCCTGAAACAACAACCTTGCCGTTAAGATTCAAACTTAGACCATGAAATAGGAACAGAGCATTACCCCTTTGGTTTTGACACAGTGCAACTTGACAATGAGCAAAAAACCAAACGAAAGGTGGAAAAGCTCTCACACCAGTGACAAGGAGAGCTGAAACGGCCATCAGGCACAGATCATGCTCTGGAATGTTTCCGAAAGCCAGAAGTCATTAGGGCACAAATAAGCTTGATTATTAACGCTGCCAGGCCTTTACCTGAAGAAGGAAACGAAGTCTGTGGTCAGAGTAACTGGCACAGGGCACTGGAGAGGCCCCTCCGGGAACAGCTTTACCACAAGCTTTACCCCAGGGCCTTGCTGCGGCAGCTCCCCCAGCAGCAGCAGCACACAAACACCCGTGTGGGGCTGATGCCATCTGATGGACAGAGCCAAGCAGGGCAGAGCTCCCTCTGGAACACGTTCCTGTGCTGCCAACAGGCTGGAGGAGCCCGGTGGTACTTGGGATAAAGCTCACTTGTCTTTCTGCAGATATGTTATCCTGTGGGTCAAAGCAATTTGCTGCCTCTTGGGGAAATCCTATTTTCATATAAATGAGCAACTGCAGAAAAAAACAGCTCTGGAGACCTCTGGCCCGGGGTCTGATGGTGCGAGCAGGGCAGGAATGGCCCAGAGGGATGGTGGGAGGGAAGGGATTGCAATTCAAGCTGACAAACCTGAGTACATTTCCCCAGCTGTGAGCTGTCTGTAACCCGGTGTGCAGCTTTTGGAGTGAGTACAGGTTGCACTAAAGCTGCTTTGGGCTTTGCTGAGTAGCTAAAACTTCATTTATTTTGTCTGTGCTGCTGATGGCAAGCCTGTCATCACCTTTCCCTGACATGTGGGTTTTCTTTGTCACAGCTGGGCTAAATTAAAGCCAAGCCAGGTGTAAGACATACTGCTCACCTGAGAGTTCTGCAGCTGCTGCTCTGTTAGGAGTTTTTCCTCCAGCATCTTCTGAAGAGCCTCTTTTGCCTTCTGCTCATAGGTTTGCTTCTGGTCCTCCATCTCGATCAGGATCTTCTTCACACACTCCTTTGAGTAACTCTTGAAACAAAGAAAGAGCTTGAGGTGCTTTATGTGTCAGATTCTCACCTTGCTAAATATGAGTGTTAGCAAACCCAGAGTGTGTCAATGCTGCTGCTAATGTGCTGTGAAGCATTGCTCCAGCAAAGAGTTAAAGTCCTTTTTGGATCCGTATCTCATCAGATTGATGGAGAAACTGAGGCCCGGCCCAGTGACAAGGCTTGGGTTTTGTTTTCCTGCCTTTCCTCACCCGTGTGTGTCAGTGAATCGGACATTACCTGGCTGCAGGCCTGCAGCTGGTTTTCCAGCACCCGCAGTTTGCACCTCAGTTTGTCCTCGTTCAGCTGGCCCTGGGGAAAAGCAGTTGAAGTGAGATGTGAAATCATGAACTGCACAATGTGCCCCCAAAGTTTTGCTGGGTTTGTGTTTTGGTTCATTTTCTCCCTTCATCTGTAATCACATCAAAGTCTCTTCAGTGCTGAGAGCTCAAGGAAACCTTCCCAGCCTCAGAATAAATGGGATATGGGGGAAGTGACACTTTCATGGATTGAAAGCCTGTCCTGAGGGGTTTCTCTGGTTACTGAGTGCAGGTGCTGGCAGTAACATGACAAGTTAGGAGCAAGGGGATTTTGGGCTGTTGTGGCTGGCTTTGGCAGAAATGCAGCTCTGCCTGTCCCCACTGTTCCCTGCCTGTGCTCCCTCCCTGCCTCGAGCTCCAGCTGCTGGAACGCTCCTATCTGTCTGTTTTCCTTAGAAAATGGTTTGGCTCTGTGTCGCAACATCTGCATTTGGGCAGGGGGATCGAGGGCACGGGATGATTCATTTTCCTCACTGTCATCAGCTCCTCTCGGTGTTAGTCAGGCTGCTCAGGCCCTGTGGAAGCAGACTGCATGCAAATTCACATAACAGTGCTAGCAAAGAGTTCACGTGGGCTGTTTTCCACCACCAGTACTGAGAACACCAATATCCTCTGTGCCCACTGCCGTCTGAAGTCACGACTCTGACAAGAAACTCCCCGGTGTTACAGGAATAGCTGACAGAGCCGAGCAAACCAGACTGCCGGTGTCTCAGCACTGGTTAGATTTGCACAGAGGCACATTTACAGTCCCAAACACTCCATCTTCCCATTTCAGCTGTTGGTGCAAAGAGCTAAAGGCTCTTAGTACGTAGGTGGAATTTTGAAAAGCAATTTTAGATGTGCAATGTTCTGGTTTTCCTCAGCTCTCCTCCTC